CAAAAAAGGAATATTTTTTTTCTCTAAATAATTTCACTATTACTCCTCTAAATAATAAAAAGAGACACATTTTAAAATTAAAAAAAAAAAAGATGTAAAAACGAGAAAAATGGAGGAATTTTGGCCACTTTTCACCCTCAGGCTCTCTCCAAACATCCCAGGAAACTTTTTTATTTATTTTTTTTTTTTAATTGGGAGAGTTTTATTTCTTTATTCCCATTTATTCCAGCAGAATTCTGCCTTGGCTGCAGGTGTTAAGTTTGGAATGAAATCCCCCCAGAAATAAATGATTATTTTTAATTTTTTTAATTTTTTTTTTTTTAAACCTCAGCAGGAGTTTTGAGGTCATCTGGTTTCTCCCACGTGGATTGCTTGGTCTCAGTGTTGTAATAATAAGTTCTTCCATCTGGAGATTTGTGTTCAGTCCACGTGGATTTCTGTGGGGGGAAAAAAAAAAAAAGAAATAAAAATGAATTAATGATGAAATTAATTCATGAATGAATTGAAAATAAAAATGAATAAAAGAATTTTAAAGACCTTGGAGTGATCCTCGCTGGCAGAGCTGGTGGTGCTGGAGCTGGGTTGGACAGTGGACACCACGGGATGAGTGGTCTGAGACAAAAAAAAAACAAAAATTCAAAATAAAATCCCAAAAATCATCATTTTCCTGGGTGAATTTCACATAGATAACCTCAATTTTTCAAGCAGCAAAGCAAAAGCAGGGTGGGAAAAAAAAATAAAATCACGTCTCAAGGGAGGGTTTTTGCACTAAAAAAAAACCAAACAAAAAAATCCTCAAGTGGAGGTGCTCAATTCCCAAAAATTTCCAAATAATTCCCACAAAATGCCACAAATTCCCCACAAATTCCACAAAATTCCCCAAAATTCCCACAGAATTCCCACAAAATTCCCACAAAATTCCCACAAAATTCCCACAAAATTCCCACAAAATTCCCACAAAATTCCCACAAAATTCCCACAAAATTCCCACAAAACTCCACAAAATTCCCACAAATTCCGCAAAATTCCCACAAAATTCCACAAAATTCCCACAAATTCCAACAAATTCCCCAAAATTCCCAAAAATTCCCCAAAAATTCCCAAATTGCCGCAAATTCCCAAAAATTCCCCACATATTCCGAAAAAATTCCCACAAAATTCCCACCAAATTCCCCAAAAATTCCCACAAAATTCCCCAAAATTCCCACAAATTCCACAAAATTCCCACAAATTCCACAAAATTCCCACAAATTCCCAAAAATTCCAACAAATTCCCACAAAATTCCCACAAATTGCCACAAAATTCCCCATAATTCCCCCAAAATTTCCAAAAATTCCCCAAAAACTCCAAAAAATTCCCACAAAATTCCCCAAAATTCCACAAATTCTGAAAAATTCCCAAAAAATCCCCACAAATTCCCCAAAATTCCCCAAAAATTCCCAGAAATTCCCCACAAATTCCCCAAAATTCCCAAAAAATTCCCCAAATTCCCCACAAATTCCACAAATTCCCAAAAATTGCCACAAAATTCCCAAAACTCCCACAAATTCCCAAAATTCTCCACAAATTCCCCCAAAATAGTCCCAAAAAATTCCCAAAAATTCCCCAAAAATTCCCAGCAGGAATTGAAAAGGCCAAACTACAACAAGCCCGAGTTAAAATTCCAGCAGCATTTCCTGCTCCTCAAAATTTGAGGAAAATTTGGTTTTAGGAAGATTCTGGATTTCCTGAGCTCACTCCCTGTTTTCCTAAAAAAAAATTGGATTTTTTTTTATCAGTCCAGGATGGAAATTTCATGGGAATAATGTGGATATTATCTGTATTTAATTAAGTTGGGATAAAGCTCACAGATTTAGAAACAATTTGGGAAAAAAATAAAAAAAAAAGGAAAAAGAATTAAAATAGAATTAATTTTTTTTTTTTAAATCCCTAAATCCACACTGGAATTGGGTTTTCCACATACCTGAGTTCCAGGAGGGGTCACACCTGGGGGAAAAAAAAAAAAATAATTAAAAATTAATAAAAGGTTTGGTGGCTTCATTTTTTTCCAAAAAAATTCCTCCATGTGTGGAAGGAAAAAAAAAAGAATAAAAATAAAAATATCCTGGGCAGCAATGGAGATTCCAGGACTTCATTTTAGGGAAAAAAATGGAATTTTTTTTTTTTTTTTTTTAATGTTTCAGCTGATTTTGGTGAAATATTTTAAAATTCTATCAAGTTGTTTACTCACCTACTTGTGCATCCATGCTGTTCACTCCGGGCTGTAAAAATAATTCAATTAAAACAATTAAATATTTGAACAATTACATTTAAATGATTAATTACTGAGAAATTCAAGCCTAAAAAAACAAAAAAATCCAATATTTGTTATCCAAGCAAGGCCTTTCTGCCATAAAAGGCTTTGATTCCATAAATTACAATTCCTGCTTCCTTCTTAATTATCCCTGCTCATTAAATAAGCAATTAGCAACATCATTAATTGGGATAATTACGTGGAAAAAGGTTTGGGGTGCATTCAAGTTCAATTCCTGGAGGTTTTTTTCTTCCTGAAATTTCTTCCAATTAAAAAAAAAAAAAAAAAATCAACAAAATTCCAAATTTTGTTTTTTTTTTTTCCATGGGGATTTAGCTTTGCTTGAGGTTTATTTTCAGTTCTCAGCCAAAAACTTCAAATATTCCTCAAGAAAAGAGAAAAAAAATGGATAAAAAGTGAAAATCAATCAAATTGGATTAATTGGATTTGATATTATCCAACAGGAATAAATCAGGAAATTTTCAGGAATTTGTTGTGTATTTTCAGAGAGTTAATTTGACCAAAATATGAAATTTTAGGAGTTTTTTTTTTAATTTTAAGAGCGTTAATCTGACCAAAATATTGATTTTTAGGAATTTTTTTGTGAATTTTAAGAGCGTTAATCTGACCAAAATTTTGATTTTTTTAGGAATTTCACTGCTCCTGATCAGCACCACAGGAAATTCCACAGGGATTTAAATCTTCAGTGGGGAAAAAAATAAAAATAAATAAATTTTTTCTACACTGAAATGGCTGGAACTGGTTTTAAGGAAATATCTTAGGCTTGGATTAAATTTATTTTTTTTAGAATCTAAATTTATTTTTTTAGAATTTCAATTTTTTTCCCCTCAGATATTTCACCTGTATTTTAACTTTTCCCCTCTCCATTTCCACCCAAAGAATTCCTCATTCCTTGAGCCATTCCAGTAATTTTTTTAATACTCAATTGAATTTCAGGAATTTTTAATTTAAAAAAATAAAAATCTCTTTCTAATGGATTTGAATATCTTTAATATTGAATTAAAACTCTTGAAAAAATTATAATTTAAGAGAGAAAAATCTCTCAATCCAAGGTCACAGTGATTCCTGCCAAAGTGCAGGAAGGAATGAAAGGAAAATTAAAAGGAATTTAAAAAATGGTGAAAATCACGAAAAAAAAAATTAATTTATTTTTATCATCATTCAAGAACCACATACAACTCCATTATAACAAAAAAAAACACATTTAAAATTTTAAATCTTATTTTTTAATCGAAGGAAAAGAAGAGTGAACAACAACAACAGCTAAGAAAAGGTTTGAAAAATGAAAAAAAATTTAAAAAAAAATGGAATTAAACTCACAGGAACCGTGGGCTGCATGGCAGCCTGGGACATGTGGGACATCATCATCCCAGGCATCACTGACTGCATCATGCCAGGCATCTGCAATTCCAAAAAAAAA